GGAGTGGGTGGAATGACCAGAGTGGGTGGGATGGCCAGAGTGGGTGGGATGACATGGAAAGGCAGGGGGCAGCGCATGGTGTTGGGGGCCGCAGCAGGAGCTGGGATTTTATTCATGGGGGGATGGGAAGCCATTGGAGGGTTTAAATACGGGAGTCACCAAGGCCAGTTGATGTTTTTAAAAGGCCTCTGGCTGCTGTTTAGGAACAGGGTGGAAAGGGTTGGCTAGATGGCGGTGCCATTTCCTGGGGAGGGAGGTGACTAGGTTTGGGGGTTGAAGGAGAATCAGAAGATGAGTGTTAAACATATTGAGTTGACATGCCTGTGAGAAAACATGTAAATGTGTGTTAAAAGTATTTTGAGTAGAGTGGGACACCTTTTTAGATTAATGCTTTTTTAAGCATTTTAGGGGTCAGGGACTTCTCTGGGACCCCTCTCTGCCCCAGTACCCAGAGGCAAGCGCACACACAATTTGGGGGATTCTGGACTCAGGCCTCCGCCCCCCAGTGTGAGAGGTTGGAATCCCATTCTAGTCCTCCGCACAGCCCCAGTGTTAATCTGCTGCAGGCATGCTTACCACTGGAAGACGCTGATCTCCTGGTTGTCCACCACCAGTTTTCCGTTCCTGTACTCCACACTCCCCTTGTACCGGCCATGGGTGGAGTCATATTTAAACATGTACACCTGTGGGCGACAGGAGGGCTCCCAGTCTTGGGTGGCCAAGGGTGGAGGAGCCAGCATCCCTAGGGAGTCCCCATCTTGGTGAAGGTTTCACATGGCATCTGGGAGCCTTCCACGGAGCTCTCCTCCCCACTCTGGTCCCGCCTTTCCCAGTTCTCCCCTCTGCTGGCTGCTCACCATATATTCCGGGTCGATGAATGGATCGTTCACTGCCACCACCTTAACACCCTTCTCCATGCAGGCGCGGAGCACCAGGCGACCGATGCGTCCAAATCTGTCCAGGGACAAGGGTGGTGGGGGTTGTGCTCAGAATCCTCGCCGCCGGCAGGCAGAGGAGGGGATGGGAGAGAAAGGGATAAGGGAGGAGGTGCACCCTAGGTGGCTGGGGGGGACTCCTCAGTCTGGGGAAAGAAGGCAAAGTGCGGGCACTGTCCTCTCTTGCCCAGATGTCCTCTTCAGCCTCTTAACCGCTTTTCCTGCTTCCTCTTCCCATCCATCGCTCCCTCCTATTCCTGACCTTGTAGCTGGATCGATCCTCTTAGAACTTCAGGTCAGAGTATGTCACTTGGCCTGAACACCTCCATGGCTCTTAATCAGTAAAACCAGATCCAGACTGCTTACCGCCCCTGCCAGCTTCCCACCTCCCTCCCCCTTCCTCCCTTGCTTGCTCCGCATACTGACTTCCTGCCCGCTCTTTGTGTGCTGAGCTCAGAGCTGGCTACCGCTGTGCTCCCCAGTCTCACTGGACTTCCACACTGTTCACAACACGCATCACTGAACTGTTGTGTTCCTTCTTTGATTGCTGTCTTCCCACCGGAATGTGAGCTCTCTGAGGATGGAGCCCTGTCTGCCTTTTCCCTGTGTTTCTTAAGGGTGGGCAGAATGAAGGCACTGATGGTGAGAAATGGGGAGATGCCCCAGGCAGCCACCAGAGGAAAGGCCGGGCCCTAAGACTTCAGGAATGGCTTGCGCTAGGGCCAACTCACCCATTGATGCCCACTGTCAGCTTCTGAACCACAGCAGCCTTCTTAGGTTGAGGAAGTGGGGATTCCTCCTTGACTGGCTCAGGTTTGGGCTCTGGCTCAGCCTGGGGCTTCTGCTCTGTCTCAACCTTGGGCTCCGGTGGGGGTGGTCTTCTGGTCACTGTTGGGGGTTGGGTGGGGGCAATGAGTTGTGCCATCACGGTGGGAGAGAATGAACCATTTTGGCCACTCAGAACCTGTTGCTGGCTCCTGGCTCCTGGCCCCTGGCGGCTAACCATCTAGCTGTTTCCCCAACCTACCTGATCCACACAATGAGTAGGGGTGGGCTTGCTTTAAAATACCAATGCCAGGGCCCCTTCCCCGGAGAGTCTAACTCAGTGCACATGTCTTTTTAACAATCACTTGGGGTCATATTGTCTGTGCCTCAGTTTCCTCCTCTGTAAAAGGAAGATGATAGTACTTCTCTCTGAGAGTCACTGTGATGATTAAGTGAGGTGATAGAGGTAATGCTTATGAGAGAGTCTAGGAAACAGTCCACTTACATGAGTATTTCAAAGATGGTTTCGCAAACTCGTCTGATAATTGTTCTAACCCAGCGGACCCCAAGCTGTTATGATAAGAACCCCGGGGTAGGCCTCTTCCCAGGGAAATCTGACTCAGTGGGTCTACACTGAGGCTCAGGAATCCTGGTTCTAAAAGTACTCCAGGTGATTTTTATCCTCAGAGTAGTTAGGAAATAGAGGAAACCCACGCCAGCTTCTACCTCTCCAAACCTACACACTCCCACTCCCGGACTGCATTTGAAACCCCCACGCGCTTGGAGGTGTGCGAGCCGGGCTGCCCATAAGGGCCTGAAAGAGGGGGGGAGACGTGGAGTCTGCAGTTGGATGTGGGTTGGGGGGGCGCTGGCCAGCAGAGGGTTTCCAGCTGGGAATCAGGCCTGACTCTCACCCCCTGCTCCGCCGCCTGCCAGCTGTGTAGTCCTGAGCAAGTTAATGACCTCTCTGGCCTGTTTGCTGGTGCCATGTCTGACCTTCTGCCTGGGGGCTACTGTGAGGACTCAGATCACACCACCCATTAGGTGCTGATGTCAACAGAGGGAGGAAGTTGCTACCAAGAGTATTTGTGAGGAAAGGAAGAGAGGAGAGGTTGGAGTTGGGCTGGAGGAGGAAGGTGGTTGCTCTTGGCGCCAGGGTCAAAGGCACTGGGAGGTGGTGGGGCTAGAACCATGGGCCAGCTGGTCTGTGGGTCCGCCTGGCCTCCAGGGGCTGCCGCAGACCACGTGGCCTGAGCCTGGGCTGTGGGTTTCCTGCGGCAATACCAGTTCCTAAAGGTATTATGAGTGTTTATTTGAGGCAATGACCCTGTGGTTTTGGGGACCCTAGGATGTTTGCGTTCCTGGGGGGGGGCGGTTCTGCTTCCACGATCACGAAAGGGGGAGATTTGTCCACGGGGGTTGAGTGGGAATCTGAGCCCACTCCTCGACCTTTCAAAAGAAAACTCAGGTGGTTCTCCTCTCCCACCTTCCCCCAGGCTTCCTCTCTCCTCCCCGCCAGTCAGGGGTGGGGTGCCTGGGCTGGAGGAAAGCTGCTGCACTGGGAAGGAAGAGCCTGAAGGGCTTCAGTGATGCAGCATCACCTGGGAGGTGAAACAAGAGCGCAGGCGCGCTCTCCTCATTCGGATGCCGCTCCCGTTTCCTGGGCGCGGCCATGGGCTAGGTGCTGGGCGGAGCTCTTGGGTGCACCAGCTCACGGAGTGCTGTAAGGCATGCGCTAGAAACCCACCATACAGAGGGGAAACCGAGGCCCGAGGTCACAGAGCAAGTGCTGAGCAGGGAGGAGGTTCGCAGCCGGGCGGGGCGCTGCTTCTTGGGGGTCCCTCCCACCGCCCCCGACCCTGGCGTCCCGCCCACCCCGGCCGGCGGCCAGTGCGGGAGCCGCGAGGGAATGCGGGCTGCCCTCCAGGCCGACCTGGGTTCACCCGGCTGGTGTGTGTGCGCACCTCTGGCTGCATGGGGCAGGGCTGCCCAGTGGGAGCCAGCAGGGGACTGAGTCCCAACTCTGCTGTTCCGGTGCTGAGAGCCCGAGGGAGGCGGCGGCTTGCGCTCTCTTACCTCTGGTGGCCGCTCCGTGAGTGGGGACAGTAAACACACTGGCCCCCCCGGGGGGTGCGCGCACGCCTGGCATGTGCTTGGCGCGGCCCTGGCAGGTTGCTAGCGCCCAAGAGGACAAAGCCCACCAACTCCTGAGCGGCCCTTTGGCGCTGGGCGACGGGAGCGTCCATCCCTAGAAATGCGCCCTCGTAGACGCGGCGCCGGCCCCTGCTTCCGTCCTTCCAACGCTTGCTAGCGGCGCCAAGGCAGGTGGAAACCCGCTCCCTGGCCCGCCACCATCGCCACAGAAACCACTGGGCGGGCAGGGCAGGGGTAGGGAGGGTGGGGCGCGAGGGAGGAGGGAAGGGGCGCCTCAGTCCGCCTCCTGCCCCCTCCCTCGTGCACACGGCGAGGCGGGCACGCGCGCTGCAGGGGCTCCCGACCGCCCTGTCTCCCCTTCCCCGGGGTCGGCCCGTCGCCTCCCTCACCGGGGCACGGCTGTCGCAGCAGCTGGACAACGGTGACATTGGTGAGGACGATGTCGCGTTTCGACATGGCCTAAGGTCTCATGGCCTAGCCTCCCGGGGGCCGCTGCGATGTTACTGCGGAGCAGGGCGCCCGGGCTAGTGTGGCCGGAGCTTCTCGCTGTGACGTCACAGTGCCCAGTGATGTCACAGGGGCGGCGGCCAAGAGCGTGACGTCCGCGTGCCAAGCCCCACCGTCCCCAGGCCACCCGTGGCGTCTAGCATAGAATCCAGTTTTTTACTCTGGTCCTCAAGGCCCTTTTCTCTCCCCCTCCCCTTCCTTCTCCCTGGCTCTGGGCTGCTCCTTGGCTAGTTAGCCACCCTGGCTGTTTTCTCTTGCCTGAAAAGCCCTGCCCTGTCCTTGCTCGGGGGCCTCCTAGTTTCCCTCCGGTTCCACCCTTTCAAGAGGGGCCCTCCTAACTCCCCATGTAAAGTTCTCTCCTTCCTCCATCACTGTCGCCATGGCCTTCACCCCCTCAAATCTGCTCATCTTCCAGAAGCCTCCTCTGACTTCCCTTCCTGGGTTAGATGCTCCTATGTGCAAAGCTACTCTATGGCTACCCTCTCTACAGTTTTTGTTTTCCTCACAGCATATGTCTCTCTCTCAAAATCATCCTGTTTATTCGTTTTCTTGCCAGTTGTCTCTGCCCACCAGACTGTAAGCTCTCGGAGGGCAGAGTGCTTGTCTACCTTCACTTTTGTATCCCGGTGACTAGAAGGTTTGGCGCCTGCAGGTGCTCACTCAGACGCCAGAATGCGTATATAAATATCGCCGCCTCCCGTGTCTTCTGACTCCCAATCTTAAATTTAACTGACCTCCAAGCCAGATCCTCTCACTGCACCCTGTTCTTCTCCTTGTGGCTTTTCATGTAGTTTGTCATGATCTACTTACTGATTTACATGCTCATTGTGTCCCGTTGTTCAGCACGGGGCCTCTGCTGCCACCTGGAACTGTGCCTGGCACAAAGCAGCTTCTGGGGAAGAACAGGACAGATGGCTCTTTCCTCTAACGCACTGGGGGTGGGGTCTCATTTGCACATCTGTGATACACAGATAGGCGCCTTCATCTGCAGGGCTGGCTGACACACAGCTGTGACCAAGATTTAGGGGGTGTGGGGGTTTGGGCCAGGAAGGAGTCATCATCCCGGACAGAGGTGTGGAAGCAAGAAGGGGCAGAATGACATAACCTCTTCCTTCCCTAAGTCTTCACGGGAACTCAGTTCACCAAGCACCCACAATGGGACAGGGTGAAGATGAGGCTCTCCTGCTTGGATGGTCCAGAGAGGTGGAACTGAAAATAAATCAGTGTACAGATGGGGAATTTCAATGGCCCAAGACCAAAATGCAGGTATTAATTAAACAAAGGGGGAGAAACTTAACACATATGATGGGGGTTGGGGGGAGGCGGGGCGTGGAAAAGCACACAAATAAAACTAGGACTAAAAAGGGATCAATTTTGTACAACTTTACAATAATAGATGTGAAAAGCTAGATGCAATTAAAAATTTTCTTAGAAAATATAAAGGAGCACCCCCGGTGCAAACAGAAATGGCAAATCTGAGTAGGCCAATAACAAGAGAAGAACCGGAGTTAAGATCTATCCTCCCCAAGGCTGATTCAGATCCAGATGACTTTATGGGCAGGATCTGCCAAAAAGCATCGGGAACTGGTGCGGGTCCTATCCAGAGTGGGGAAGTCGGGTGGCAGTTCTCACGCGGAGGGGTTCTGGGCAGGGCACGTGCTCCGAGGCCCCACGAGCTGGCCAGCACACTTCCTGGGAGTGCTCTGTGGGAGGGCCCTGACGCTGGGCCATGGAAACCTCCTCCACTCGCTCTGGAAAGGCAGCAGGCTCACATTACCCAAACCAGCGGAGGGCGGCAAAGAAAGGACAACTCCAGGCCAATCTCTTATGGGGACAGACGCCAAAGTCCTGAATCAGTTAGTGGCAAATGGGAATTGGATCTAGAGGGACCCGGGCCCGGATGACAGAAGACGGCGGGATGGGCCGAGAGAGGGGTGGAAAGAGAAGATGGGAGTACATTTCAAAATGAGAAACCCCACCTCTCCATCTCAGGATGGATTAGGATTCTGCAGGTCACCACCCACCCCTCCCCACCCTGCAATCCCCTGGCATGGGAAACTCCCTCATTTAGGCACTGGACAAGGGCAGGAGAGCCACACCTGAGGTTGCCCAGGGATTTGGCTTTGTCCCTGGAGCGTGAAACTGGGAAACAGATTTAATGAACTCAAGCTTGGAGAGGTGGCGTGATTAGTCACCCTCTATAGGCAGTGCCTAGAAATGGCAGAAGCTCCTGGGTCTCTGGGCATGGGTGTCCAGGACCTGGAGTGGAAGTGTGGGTCTTCTGACGGGAGTGGGCCTGGTCACCCTTGTTTGAGCAAAGCCTGAAAACACATGCAGATTCTCACCACACCCGAGCACCCACACACATACCTCTGTCACCCCCGCTGGCTCACACCCTACACATTCCTTCCCACCTGCAATCCCACCTCCACCCCCTCTCTGTCTCTCCCTTTGGCACCCAAACCCAAATATCTTTCATCCCTGCACCTAACTTACCCACCCACTGGCTCTTGTTCTTCTGGTCTCGGCCTGCTTCTAGCCCCAGATAGCTACGCTGCCACAAGACCTCCCAGCCACCACCTGTCCTTCCTTCTGATGACCCTCTTCATGCCCAGGGTAGACTCCTAGCCGTTCCCCTCCAACCCATGCCACCATGTCAATGCTTGGGGCTTTAGGTTGGGACCAAGGAGGCCCCAGGGGGAGGAAGGAAGGAAGGATGAGCCCCTGGCCTCCAGCCCAGGTTCTGGCTGACAGTCTCCCACTGCCCCAGGTCTTCAGCCCCTCCCCGTGGCTGCCCCAACCGGCTTTTCAGGAGACGCTGCGTCCTGTCCCAGCTCATGGCAATCGGTCCTCTGCCCTTGCCCAAGGGCTGGGAAGCAGGAGGCCAAGGTCCCGGCTCCAAAATCTATAAGCCTTCCCAAGGGGCCCCAGGCTGCTCTGGGGACCCAGGCACCCTTCTCTGCAGCACCCTCTGAGACCCAGGCTTGGCCTGTCTTCCCTGGGCTTCCCTTAGCAAGCATACTATGTGTGCTTACATCACATACCTTTTTGGAGTGCTTCTTTAAATCCATCCATTTGTTCAATCTATAAATATTTACTGAACCCCAGGCAATGTTCTAAAAATTGGGGATATAGCAGTGACCAACACAAAAGCCCTGTCCTCTGGAAGTTTACAATCTGATAGATGAGGCAGACAGTATAAAAGATAATTTCGGATCGTGGTAAGTGCTTATAAAAACAAAAGGATGATATCACCCAGGATAACTGAGAGATGGCCAGGGATGGTGTTTTTTTTTTTTTTTTTGTGGTGACATTTGAACCAAGAACAGACTAAGAAAGAACCCACCATGTGAAGATGTGAGTTCTGCTTTCCAGGCAGAGAGGACAGCATGTGCAAAGGCCATGAGGCGGGAATGAGCCCGGTATATCTGAGGACCAGGGAGAAGACCTGTGGGGCTGGGACGTAGTAAGCGTAGGGGGGTGTCAACGAGAACAGTGAGTTCTGTTGATGTCAACTTGAACAGTGAGTCTCTGATGACTCCCTCAACTCCCCAAGGGTGCTCTCCTCCCCCCTGACGGAGCCTCCCATTTTCCTAGACTCTTGCTGCTGGGGAAACTGGATCCTTCGATCCCCTGAGAGGAGTGAAGAACTAGGCCTGGGTCCTGGGGATGGGGGTGATTGAAGGTGAGGTTGGGAGAGAGGAGGCCTGGATAGTGGGTGAGGAATGAAAAGAGGAGGTGGTTGGAAGGGCAGACATCTGGGCTTTGGGGTGGAGGGCCTGAGCTGGGCAAGGAGCAAAGATGCCACGTGAGTGTTCTCCATTCATGACTCACCTCTTCCTCCTCCTCTTCATTGCTCAACTCAAGTTCCCTGGGAAATACGTCCCTGACTGGGGACCAAGTCAGTGCCTCACAGGGGTAACTGAGTCATGAGGGGTGGAGAAGAGAGAGGGAGGTAGAGTATAAATAGCAGCTTTGCTTCCCTGGCTCCTCTCTGCATCCTCCCCACCCTTCCAACAACATGCACCTTGCCAGTTTGGTTAGCTCCTGCTCCCTCCTATTGCTATTGGGGGCCCTTCCTGGATGGGCGGCCAATGATGACCCCATTGAGAAGGTCATTGAAGGAATCAACCGAGGGCTGAGCAATGCAGAGAGAGAGGTGGGCAAGGCCCTGGAAGGCATCAATAATGGAATCACTCACGCTGGAAGGGAAGTGGAAAAAGTTTTTAATGGACTTAGCCACATGGGGAGCCAGGCCGGCAAGGAACTGGACAAAGACGTCCAGGGGCTCAACAACGGCTTGGACAAGGTAGCCCATGGGATCAACAGTGGCATCGGACAAGCAGGAAAGGAGGCAGAGAAATTTTCTCATGGGGTCAACAGCGCTGCTGGACAGGTTGGGAAGGAGGCAGACAAAGTGATTCAGGGGGTTCATCATGGAGTCGACCAGGTGGGAAGTGAGGCAGGGTGGTTTGGCCATGGGGTCCACCATGCTGCCGGGCAGGCTGGGAACGAGGCGGGGAGGTTTGGCCAGGGGGTCCACGATGCTGCGGGGCAGGTTGGGAACGAAGCAGAGAAGTTTGGTCAGGGGGTCCATCATGGGGCTAACCAGGCTGGGAAGGAGGCGGAGAAGTTTGGTCAGGGGATCCATCATGGGGTTAA